ACTCAAAAAAAAAAAAAAATTTTAGAGATGGGGTCTTGCTCTGTCACCCAGGCTAGAGTGTAGTGGCACAATCAAAGCTCGCTGTAACCTCAAACTCCTGGGCTCAGGCAATCCTCTTGCCTTGGCCACCCAAAAGGTTGGGATTACAGGCATAAGCCACTAGGCTCAGCCCATCAATTTTTTTTGTTTGTTTGAGCCAGAGTCTCACTTTGTCACACAGGCTGGACTGCAGTGGCACGCTCATGGCCACCGCAGCCGTGACTTGCTGGGCTCAGGCAATCCTTCCGCCTCAGCCTTCCAAGTAGCTGAAACTATAGGCACATGCCACCACACCCAGCTATTTTTTTTTGATTTATTGTAGAGATCAGGTCTTGCCAAGGTGCCCAGGCTGGTCTCAAGCCCATGGGTTCAGGCAATCCTCTCACCTCAGCCTCCTAAAGTGCTGGGATTATAGGCATGAGCCACCGCACCTGGCCTCAGCACATCAATTTTATAAACACTTCTTGAGTTAGCCAATGGAAGATACAAGGATAAATGACATAAACTCTCTGCTCTCAAGAAGCTTATGATAGGTGGGAAGAAAAAGGTATTCTAGATAGAAAGAACATAACAAATGCTCAATAACTGTCAACATTAACATTTATGTGAGAAGAGGGGGAAGATGTAGCTGGAAACAGTTTCCTACATTATCACAGATGATCTTGAGTGGTATGCTAAACAATTGTAATGAAAACGGAAGCAACTGAACATTTCCTGGTGAAGAAGTAACATGAGCATATATAATACTTATTTTAGAAATTTAACTGGGAGTAGTATGAAATATAAAACTAATGGAGAGCCAGGCTCAGTGGCTCAGCCTGTAATCCCGCGCTTTGGGAGGCTGACGTGAGTGAATTGCCTAAGCCCACAGGTTCGAGACCCGCCTGGGCAACTTGGCAAGACCTCATCTCTACAATAAATAAAAAATGAGCTGGGCATGGTAGCACACGCCTGTAGTTCCAGTTACTTGGAAGGCTGAGCGAAAGGATTGCCGGAGCCCAGCAGGTCGGGACTGCAGTGGCCCGGAGCGTGTCACTGTGCTCCAGTCTGGGCAACAGAGTGAGACTCCAACTCAAAAAATAAAATAATAGAAGGCAGAGGCATGAGTTTCTGCGAAGATGGAATTGGTGTCTTAGTTGATATTGGGAGTATGGGATAAAGTCAAGTTAATACTGACTTTAGGGATTGTGCCTCATGGGATTGGTTAGACAGACAGTTATACCATTCACTGAGGTAGATAACAAGATATTTTACTGACGGCAAAATTGAGGACCAGGGAGGCTTAGTATTCGTCCCACTTCACATTGCCAACGTGTGTCAGAGTGGAAGTGAGAACACATCCAATCCACTGCCTTTCTATCACATCAGCCAGACTCTAGTTCTACTCTTCTTTCTGGTCTCTCTCAGGGAGAAGGTACACGAAAGTAAATGGTTACTATACCACATTGTAAACAATTTGTTCCCTGGTATATCACCATCCCTCCAGGCGTATACACTAATCTTAGTTACACGTTTGGCAAATCCTAAACTGTTGGGTTCAACAATAAGGTAATGATGCTTAGCCAAGAACATGCAAGAAAAACCAGAGAGAAAATAAGAATGTTTAAGAAGGGGATAGCCAAAAGGAGAGAGGAAAGAGAGAGCAGCTAAATTTCACTTGACTCAGTAAATATAAATTCTTTTTTTTTGAGTAGGAGTCTTGCTCTGTCACCCACGTTCACGGCCACCACAGCCTCATCCTGCTTGGCTCAGGTGATCCTTTTGCCTCAGTCTTCCAAGTAGCTAGAACTACAGGCCACCATCATGTCCAGCTAATTTTTAAAAATTTATTGTAGAGACAAGGTCTCGCCAAGTTGCCCAGGATGGTCTTGAACCCCTGGATTCAGGCAATCCTCTCACCTCCACCTCCCAAAGTGCTGGGATTACAGGTGTGAGCCACCATGCCCGGCCAGTAAATAGAAATTTTAACTATCTGAGGACTGTGAGTTAGTTCTATACTAAAAACAAAAACAAAAAACAGCAGGGATTAGGGCATACAGAGAAGTCTTTACCTTTGGTTGTTCCTATATTATATACTTTATTATATGTATTTATTATATACATATACAATTATATGTACTTATTATTTTTTTTTTTTTTGAGTTGGAGTCTCACTCCGTCACCCAGACTGGAGTGCAGTGGCATGCTCCTGGCCACCGTAGTCTCAACCTGCTGGGCTCTGGCGATCCTTCCACCTCAGCCTTCCAAGTAGCTGGAACTACAGGCTTGCGCTACCATGCCTGGCTAATTTTTTATTTATTGTAGAGATGAGGTCTTGCCAAGTTGCCCGGGTGGGTCTCGAATATATGTATTTATTATATATACGCCCTGAAAATAAAAGGATCCTGAAGTATGTTTATTTCTGCTTATTCTGCTGCTAGGCACAATAAGCTGAAATCCAGGACATTTATGCTTAATATAAAAACTTTTTTTTTTTTTTGAGTTGGAGTCTCACTCTGTTCCCAGGCTGGAGTGCAGTGGCACACTACCAGCCACACAGCCTGGACCTGCTGGGTTTAGGAGATCCTTCCACCTCAGCGTCTCAAGTAGCTGGAACTACAGATGCATGCCACCATGCCCGGCTAATTTTTTGATTTATTGTAGAGATGAGGTGTCACCAAGTTGCCCAGACTGGTCTTGAACCCCCGGGCTCATGCAATCTCTTGCTTCGGCCTCCCAAAGTGCTGGGATTACAGGCTGAGTCACTCATGGCTACCACAGCTTTGACCTTCTGTGCTCAGGCAATCCTTCCATCTCAGCCTTCCAAGTAGCCGGAACTACAGACGCGTACCACCACACCAGGCTTATTTATTTATTTATTTATTTATTTATTATTTATTAATTTTTATTTATTTATTTATTTATTTATTTATTTATTGTAGAGATGAGGTCTTACCAAGTTGCCCAGACTAGTTTCAAACTCTTGAGCTCAGGCAATCTCTCACCTCTGCCTCCCAAAGTACTGAAATTATAGGCATGAGCCACCACGCCTGGCCTCTATCCCTTTTTTAATACGGAATTCTATCTGAGAGACGTTAAAAGGGAGGTACTACAGCATAGAAGTTAGAAGCAAAGGCTTTCAAATGGGTGAGGGGATTAAGAAAACAGAATCAGTAGACTGAGTTTTTTTGTAGGTCCATATCCTTATCTTATTTATTGCCAATAGAGGGAGCTTTGATCAAGACCATGACTCACTTAAGCCTGCCAAAAAAATATCTAAGATGTAAGGCAACTAAAGTAAATACCTCATGATACTACAGACAGTTAACCTTATTTTTCTTTCATCAAATCACTCTCCAATAAATAGATCAAAATGAACAAAGTTCAAGCAAGCTATGTTTTCTAAAAGTTTTGTATGAAATCACAATTTTAGGCATTACTGTTATTTTAAAATAATTGTTTTTGAGATAGGGTCTTACTCTGTTGTCCAGGCTGGAACACAGTGGCTAATCATAGCTCAGTGTAACTTTGAACTTCTGGGCTCAAGCAATGTTCCCGCCTCAGCCTCCCAAGTAGTTAGAACTACAGGTATGTACCACCATGTCCAGCTAATTAAAAAGAATTTTTTTTTTTTTGTAGAGATGGGTGTCTCGCTATATTGCCCAGGCTGGTGTTTAACTCCTAACCTCAACCTCACAAAGCATAGGCATCACTCAGCCTCGACCTGCTGGGCTTAGGCGATCTTTCCACTCCAGCCTTCCAAGTACCTGGAACTACAGATGCACGCCACCACACCCAGCTAAAAATAGGTTTTCATATATAAAGTTCTCTTAAAGTAAAATCAATCTACAAGTCCGTAAGTTATTCCCTTGTTGGGACGAGGTGTGCAGTAAATTGTCAGAGGATCTTAAGGGGTTATGTTGCCCAGAATTGAGTGCAGTGGCATGCTCATGGCCACAGCAGCATCAGCCTGTTGGGCTCAGGTGATCCTTCCGCCTCAGCCTTCCAAGTAGCTAGAACTACATTTTTCTTGATTTATTGTAGAGATGAGGTCTCACCAAGTTGCCTAGGCTGATCTGAACCTATGGGTTCAGGCAATCTTCTCACCTCTGCCATCCAAAGTGCTGGGATTATAGGCGTGAGCCACTGTGCCCGGCCTGGCAGATCTTAACTATAGTTAAAACAGGTTCCTGTCTAATTAATGTTACTTGAGAGACAGCAGGAAGATACCCCCCAAAACAACTACTACCCCCAAAGAGTTCACCCATCAATACCTAAAATTCTCTCACCAATGCCTTACCCCTTTGGTTTAGGTTTAGGCATTTATCTTCTATCAACACTCTTTTAGAGAGATACTAAGTCCCAAATGTCTCTTTTCTTTTTGAGTCAGGGTCTCACTCTGTCACCCTGGAATGTCAGACTGGAATGCAGTAGCATGACCACAACAATCACAGCTCATGGCAGCCTCAACCTCATGGGCTCAGGTGATCTTTACCTCAGCATCCTGAGTAGTTGGGACTTTACAAGCATGTGCTACCATGCCCGGCTAATTATTTGATTTTTCTGTAGAGATGAGGTTTTTGCTATGTTACCCAGGCTAGTTGCAAGCTTCTGGGTTCAAGCAATCTGCCCACCTCAGCCTCTCAAAATTCTGGGATTACAGGTGTGAGGCAACAAGCCCAGCCCCAAATGTACTGGAGTATGAGTTTACCAAATTATTTTGTGATAGAACTGGACAATACAAGTGGCAGTACTATGTAACTTGGTAGGAAGAAAACACAGGAGGGAAGTGAGGAATGATTTAACTGTGCTGTGATCAAACCTGGGAAAGGTGGTCAACTAGTGCACCCCAACAACACAACACTGAGTCTTCATCAAAAATTTACAATCTTTCAAGACAGTATCACAGTCCATCTTAAGAGATGATACAATGTCAGAAAAGGGAGAATGCTGGAATCTGATTCTACTTCAGCTAAGTGACCACCAGCAAGTTTCTTTGTCCTTTAGGCCTTGGCTTCTTAAATTAAAAAAATACTGCTAGGTAGAAGTCGCTAATGATTCTTCTAAGTATAAAAGGTTGTATATTTTCCATAAATCTTCCATCATGATTATAGTGCTAATTTCCGCAGATGAGTTTATCTTTTAACTTTTCTCAGTTTCCTTTTCAGTGAAATTTCTCAACTTCTTTATATCAAAATTAATTTCCTTCAGTCTCAAGGCCCTTGATCCCACTCTCCCCATCCCATTCTGTTTCTTGCATTCCATTATTCCCTCATACATTCAATTTCTTTCTCTATTGGCTCCTTCCCCTGGGTCCTAGTACCCCTTGCTCCTCTTGTCCAACCTAAAACTGCTCTCTTTCCTCATCTCAAAATTAATCTCTTTCTCCATTCACCTTCCAAGGACCTTCATATCTTTTTTGCCAATAATTTTTTTTTTTTTTTGAGTCTGTCTCCTAGGCTGGAGTGCACGATCACAGTTCACTGCAGATCACAATTCACCGTAACCTCGACCTTCTGAGCTTAGGTGATCCTTAGGCTTCAGTCTCCCATGCTCATCTATTTTTTTTTTTTTTTTGTAGAGAGGAGGTCTCACTATGTTAACCAGGCTCGTCCCGAACTCCTGACCTCAAGTGATCCTCCAGTCTCGGCCTCTCAAAGTGCTGGAATTACAGGCGCGCGCTACCACACCCCGTTAATTTTTTAAAATTTTTATTGTAGAGACGAGGTCTCGCCAAATTGCCTAGGCTAGTCTCGAACCCCTGGGCTTAGGCAATCCTCTCACCTCGGCATCCCAAAGTGCTGGGATTACAGGCTTGAGCTACCGCGCCCGGTCGAGAATGCCTGTTTTAAGTACCTGCCCATATTTCCCACCCCTGCTGCACACTACGCTGTAGAGGCTGTTTTTCACGGATAAAAAATAGCGGGAACCACAGGTCTATCTTATCTCCCACAAACTGGCCTGGGATCACTTACTACAGAGACTCAAAACAGTCTACTGTAAACACCATCTACTCGAGGGCCCCGCTTTCGAAGAGCCCACAGTAGGACGGTCACGGCTGTTGCCTGCAAGGGGCTCTATCCACATTTACCCTAGCAAGCCCCCAACCACTCCCGCAGCCAGCACCACCTCACAGCCGTATTCTGTCGCCACCACGGTCACTCCCTTGATGACGCCATCGCCGTTCCCACGCACCTGAGCGACCAACCCTGAAGTTACGAAGCGGTCCAGAAATAGCCCAGCGCCCTTAGGATCGGAGGCCGGGTCCCAGGGGCTCACAGCAGCCATGGCTCCGACGCACCGCCCCCGATGGCGCCCGGAGTGAACGGGAACGGAAGGCGAACGCGCGGCGCGGCCGGATGACGTCACGGGGCGGTCCCGCCCGGAGTAAGCCCCGGGAGCGCAGCCCCGGTTAGCGCGGCTCCTGCGTCTTCTCCTGCCTAGCGGGCTGTGTACGCTGGGCGGTAGGAGGCGAGTCCGGGTCCCCTGATCCTCCAGAGGCTCCCAGAGGCGCCTGGCCTCGGCACAGCTGCAAAAGCAGCAGGGCTTGGTGGTCGGGCTGTCTATTCTTCCCTTTCTTTCTTGCCACTCTTGGGCCTGGTCCAAGGATCCCAGGATCGGCGGGAGATGACAGCTGGGGCAGGAGACCCAGCCGGGAGGCCGGCAGGGTGGAGCTGTGCCTGGACTGGGCAGTGACGGTTGCGCTTCCTTCCCGCAGGGACGTGAGCCGCGGTGCTAGGATGGGAAACAGTGCCCTCCGTGCTCATGTGGAAACGGCGCAGAAAACGGGTGTCTTTCAACTTAAGGACCGTGGGCTGACCGAGGTGAGACTGGGAGGGACCCGACCAGGGAACTTAAAGGGAGAGGGTCGGCGGGGGCGCGAAGTTAGTCGGTGAGGGATTCTCCACGCTGTGAACTCCTTTCTCCAGTTCCCTTCAGAGTTGCAGAAGCTGACTAGCAATCTCAGGACCATCGACTTGTCCAACAACAAGATCGAGAGTCTACCGCCTTTGCTGATAGGGAAGTTCACTCTGCTGAAGAGCCTCTCCCTGAACAACAACAAACTGAGTATGGCTTTTGCCTGGGAAGCTTTTGCTAGTCATCAGCTGTTGCGAAGGGTGGTTTTCTCTTACAAGCTGATTTTTGCGGTTGTTATGAAACAGTTCAGAGGACTCAAGATGCGGAATGTCAGAGTCCTTGAAGCTTTCTTTCAACTTCTTGTAATTACATCTGCGAGCCTTCTTGGGTGGTATAAGGATCATTATTAGGTTAATTTGAACATGAAAGGGAAGAACATCGTTGGGATGTGATGTAAACAAAGCGACCTAGTTTGGAAGGGGGGATGGAATGGGAAGGAGAGGATCTTCCAGATCTCAAAAAATTGCTGTCGGATTGTGCCTGGGCTTTACAAAAGGAGCTCATTATGCATATAAATGTTCTCCTGCATTTTGATGACACCATCACCTTCGGAAGACGATGTTGGTAAAATGCAATACCTAAAAATGGCAAAGGTGGGAATTCTACGTATATTAGCAAGAGAGGACTCAGGCTGCCATACAGTCTTTGTAAATGTCTTCAAAGGTGTTTTCAGCTCTACCAGATTCAGATTTAAATTTTTTTTTTCTTTGCCAGCTGTTCTGCCTGATGAGATATGCAATCTGAAAAAACTAGAAACGCTAAGCCTAAACAACAATCACCTGAGACAGCTTCCATCTACTTTTGGGCAACTTTCTGCCCTTAAGACCCTAAGCCTCTCTGGTAACCAACTGGGAGTACTGCCGCCTCAACTTTGTAGCCTACGGCACCTGGATGTGGTGGATCTCACTAAGAACCAGATTCGAAGTATACCTGACATAGTAGAGGAGCTGCAGGTCATTGAACTCAACCTCAACCAAAACCAGGTCAAGAGCTTAAGACTTTTTTTCAACAGCATATGTGTGGGTTTATAGTCTCCTGATAACCTCTTGTTCCCTAAACTGCCCTCATGGAGCTAGGTATCAGGGGCTAAATGAGAGGTATATTCTATAAACTAAACTAATCTCAAAGCCCAAAGTGCCATGGAGTTAGTTGGGACACTGTGTGCGTTTGCTGTGTAGATGTTTTGGGGAGAATGGGATAGATAACAGAGTCATATAATTTCAAAAGTTAAACTACTGTTTCACAAATTGAAAAGTTCTTCTGATCCTCCCTAAATATGTCCCTGATCATCTAAACAGGAGCTATGTCAGGGATATAGTGTGGAGATGAGATTTAAACTAAGGTTCTGAGAGTCAGAGAGCAGAGGTAATTCAGATGTTTTTGTTTTGTTTCATTTTGTTTTGACATCTTTGTTAAGTGTGTATCCTGCTTCTGCTGAAAAATCTTAAGTGATGGGCTCTCTGGAGATAGCCCATTTCATTGTTGCAAAGCTTTAATTATAATATTTGACATTTGTTTCTGTTACTTCAGAAGCTTCTTGGTTATTATTTATCTACCTGGAAAAACAATCCAAAGATAATTGCTTAGGCATATCATAGAAACTTTAAACACTGTGAGATTGGGTGGCCTTTAGTTTTTTAATGTCTGTACTTCTATATCTGCATGGTCCAATGCAGTAGCCACTAGCCACATGTGGTTTACTGCTCTAGATTGTCATGATCTTACATTATGATATTCAGTTTTTTGAATTTTTTTTAATTTAAAAAATATAGTTTATTTAAAAACAGAGTGAGAAGCCGGGCTTGGTGGCTCAGCCTGTAATCCCACGCCTTTGGGAGGCTGAGGTGAGTGGATTGCCTGAGCCCGTGGGTTCGAGACCCGCTTGGGCAACTTGGAGAGACCTCATCTCTACAATAAATAAAAAATTAGCTGGGCGTGGTAGGCACGCCTGTAGTTCCAGCTACTTGGAAGGCTGAGGCAGAAGGATTGCCAGAGCTCAGCAGGTCGAGGCTGTGGTGGCCAGGAGCAGCCACTGCACTCCCGTCTGGGTGCTAGAGTGAGACTCCAACTAAAAAAAAAAAAAAAAAAAAGCAGAGTGAGAAAGAGAAGGGAGAAAGAAGATTCCCCTCCCCAAGGTGGGGGAGGAGGCCAGAGCACATGGCCACATGAGTCTAGGAAGGCAATGGCCGATATTCAGTTTTTGTAGTGACTGACCTCACTTTTTCCTTAAAGTGAGTATTTTATGTTCTTGAGCTTTTTTGGGGGGAAACTGTAAATCAGTTAAATAGTATTAGTTGAGGACTCTACATTTACCTTTGCTGATACTCTAGTCAGTGGTTCTCAGACTTTAGAATGCATCAGAATAACCAGAAGAGCTTGTTTAAAGAGATCACTGGGCCCCTATTCCTACCCTCAGTGTTTCTTATTCAGTAGGTCTGGGATGAAGTCTGAGAATTTGCATTTCTAATAAGTTCCCAGGTGATGGTCTGAGATGACACCAGGCAGCATAAATAGAATTTGGTGACTGATAGCACTTAAAGGGCAAAATAGGTGAGTCAAACACAATTGCTTGGCACTGAGCTAAAGGAACAGTGGTGCTCTTAAGACATGGACATGTTGTTTATGGTTAATATTCTAAATGGAAATGTTTTACTGAAAGTTGGAAACACAGGAGTGGAATAGAGATGAGTAGCTATAAATGCAGATAAAGATTTTGAGGTCACAACAGAAGCCATAGCTTTAAGAATAAATGAACATTCTAGGAGAAAGTTTAGAGAGAAGATCAAATATGAAGTATTAGGGATTGCTGTTTGAAAAATGAAAAATGTCCATAGGAACAAGGGAAGCCAAAAATCAGGAGTAATACAAAAAGTAGGAAGAAAGCCCAAGAGAAGGAGTTTTAAGGAAGGGAGAGAACAGATCAATGTAACAGGGAATGAGGACAATGGATCCTTAAATTTGTCAGGAAAGTGGTATCTATGTATTCATATAAAATATTTGCAGTAAATGTACCAAAATGTTCATGGTGATTATTTCTGGGGGATCGATTATAGGTAAACATTTTTTCTTTAAATATGTGATTATCAGCTGGGTGCTTTGGCTCCCAGCACTTCGGGAGGCAGAAGCAAGAGGATTGCCTCAGTTCAGGAGTTCAAGACCAGACTGAGCAATATGGCAAGACCTTGTCTCTACAATAAATCAAAAAATTAGTACATGTCGTGGTTCCAGCTACTCAGAAGGCTGAGGTGGAAGGGTCACCTGAGCCTAGTAAGTTGAGGCTGCAGTGGCTGTGAGCATGCCACTGCACTCCAGCCTGGACAACAGAGTAAGACTCCAACTAAAAAAAAAAAAAAAAAAATGTGATTCTCAAATTTTCGATAATGTTTTTATCATCAGAAAATTTTGTTTCCAAAAAGCCACTAGTGACTTTCATAAAAAGTTTTTTTTTTTCCCTTTACTTTCTTTTTTTTTGAGGCAGAGTCTCACTGTGTTGCCCAGGCTGGAATGCTCACGGCCACCCCAGCATTAACCTGCTGGGCTCAGGGGATCCTTCTGCCTCAGCCTTCCAAGTAGCTGGAACTACAGGCGTGTGTTTACCACACCTAGCTAATTTTCATTTTGATATATTGTAGAGACAAATTCTCATCAAGTTGCCCAGGCTGGCCTCAAACACTCCTCTCGCCTTGGCCTCCCAAAGTGCTGGGATTACAGGCTTGAGCCACCGTGCCCGGCCAACATTTTCTTTTTTTAAAAGTGAAGGAGTAGTAACAGAAGCTAGATAACAGGCTTCTGGAGTGAGTGGGTAGTGAGAAAATGGAGGCGGTAAAAGTAAGGAAAACTAGGACAAATAGTCAAGTAAAGATTTTTTGTTTTGTTTTAATGTACTAAAAAACAAGCTTCATGTGGCTGTGTTTATGCTTTTTCTTATTATTCTTTTGTTGTTTTTCAATAGATATCTCAGATCTCAGTGAAGATATCTTGCTGTCCTCGCCTCAAAATTCTTCGCCTGGAAGAGAACTGTCTTGAGCTCAGCATGCTTCCACAGAGCATCCTCAGTGATTCTCAGATCTGTCTGCTTGCAGTGGAAGGCAATCTTTTTGAAATAAAGAAACTTCGAGAACTGGAAGGCTATGATAAGGTATGAATGTGTACTTAGTGCATTTCTAGTCACTACCCCAGAGAAGACAATGGTGAAATATCCCACATTAATGTCTATAGCTAATGACAATAGGATTTGCTCTTCCCCATTTTGGAGGTGGGCGCTAAGAATTAGCCAAATGCTATCGTACCAAGATGGCTTTTTCTCTATAGACAGCTTATTGTAAAGCATCTTTGTCTTTTGATATGTTTCCTATTAAAAGATACAACAAAAATTTTTTAAAAACAGTGTGCTTTAATTTGCACTTAGAATAGGTAGTTTTTGCAGAAAATGATGCAATATCCAATAAAAACCATAATGGGAAAAAAAGCCATATAAAACATAAAAACCTAAATAACAAGTAGGCTTATGTTTATTTGCTCTTGCCAAAATACCACATATGTATTCTTCTTTCATGTTTTTCAGTACATGGAGAGGTTCACAGCCACCAAGAAGAAGTTTGCATGATGTTCTCCAGAACTATGAGAATCTTATAGGATACTGACTTAGATCCTCTGTTGGAATCTGGCTAAATCAAAGGTTCCTGTTGTCAAGGATATCTGCAATAAGATGACACTCCAGAAGATTATAAAGATCACTCAATGATCTTTTTCCTTTGCAGGGCTCTTCTCAGATAAGCTAAAAGAAAAGAAATCAGAGTCTTCCACTTTAAGTCTTGGATAGGGCATTGGACAAGGTTGATCTTCAAAACTATCATTAGTTCATCTTAAGAAACCAGTAGCTAGTTGCTATTTATACAGTGAGGGGGTGCTGCCTGGTAACAGAATAGCTCCACACAACAGCTTGAGATTTGATTTAGTTTCAAAGCGTGAGCTTTCCTAAAGTCAGTTGCCATTCCATCTGTGTTAACACTTCACACTTTTGTGAAATTCAAATAATTAGTGAGAGGCTGCTATGGTTTATTGTAAGGATTTATGAATTCCAGTCCATCAGTTCAATTGCAGTGTTTATACTTGGAATTTAGAATGTCAAGAAGCACCAATGCAACACTAAGAGATGTTCTCCAAGGCTGTAGTAGCAAATTCTTTGCTATTGCAGGTGCCTTTCTGGTAGAACGCTCTGAAGAGCTAAAACTATATGCAACACTTATAAGATAAAAATAATTTTAATAATCAAGATTTTCCTGATGATTTGTTAGAAATAATGTCTTATTTCTGGTAATTTTTTCCCCTTTTTGTATTTATAACTCCACTAATAAAATTACCTGTCAATAAACCATTGCTACAATATTTTAAAACAGCTGGGCGAGGTGGCTCACGCCTATAATCCCAGCACTTTGGAGGTGGAGGCGAGTGGGTTGCCTGAGCCCAGGGGCTCAAGACCAGCCTGGGCAACTTGGTGAGACCTCGTCTCTACAATAAATCAAGAAAAATTAGCTGGGCATGGTGGTGCATGCCTGCAGTTCCAGCTACTTGGAAGGCTGAGGCAGAAGGATCCCCTGAGCCTGGCAGGTCCAGGCTGCAGTGACCATGAGCATGCCACTGCACTCCAGCCTGGGCAACAGAGGGAGACTCTGACTCAAAGAAAAAAAATATTTTAAAACAACTTATGTTCATCAAGTTTATTTTTTGAATGAGAATATACTAAATAAAGAATTTTTAATGAACTTTGACTGGAAGCAAGGTTAATCCTTCAAGGGAAGAAGACAGGAGAACTTTAACCTATAAAGTCCTTTGTTTTTTTAAAGTAAACTTCTTAGGAAGAAATGTTTCATGCTCTTGTTCAAGTTGTACGAGTAGAGGTGATTTAAAGTATATGGGAAGATGTGCAGTTATACGAAAATATATAAGGGACTTGACCATTGTGGATGTTGATATCCACAGGTGATCCTGAAACCCATCCTTCACAGATACTGAGGGATATTAAATGCCTTCATGTGACTGACAGACATTTTGTGGTACTAGAATCATGTATATTAAGACAATATGGAGCCGGATGTGGTAGTTCATGCCTATAATCCCAGCACTTTGGGAGGCTGAGGCAAGAGGATTGTCTGGTCCCACAGGTTCAAGACCAGTCTGGGTAACATGGCGAGACCTCATCTCTACAGTAAATCAAAAAACTAGTTGGGCACGGTGGCACACACCTGTGGTTCCAGCTACTGTAAGGCTGAGGTGGAATGATCACCTGAGCCCAGCAGGTCAAGGCTACAGTGACTGTGAGCATGCCACTGCACTCCAGCCTGGGGGACAGATTGCGACTCCAACTCAAAAAAAAAAAGAGAGAGATTCTGAAGGTACAGAGGATTTCAGATTGTCACTGACATAAACATTAAGAAAGCTACCATTCTGGTCAGTTTCCAACATTTAACCTTAGCCAAGGAGCTACTATCAGCCATATGCCAATAGTTCTCAACAATGGTTAAACCTGGCATATCCATTAAGTCAAATCATAAGAGCCTACTATTTAATCTATATGAGGAAGTCTCTCTGACCTTATATCTGCTTTGGGTATTTTTCCCATATGTTATTTTCTGATTCTCAATTTGGAGAGGACTAAGGGGTACCAGTTTATCAGTATCAGTACCTACACTTATTTCCAAATACCCTTTCTTCACTCCCACTTTCCTGCCCACCTATACCAGACTCTTCTGCCCCTTAAACTCATAGTGTGGCCAGGCACGGTGGCTCATGCCTGTAATTTCAGCACTCGGAGTCTGAGGCGAGAGGATTGCCTGAGCTCACGAGTTCAAGACCAGCCTGGGCATCTTGGTGAGACCTCGTCTCAACGATAAATAAAAAAATTAGCCAGGTGTGGTGGCACACACTGTAGTTCCAGTTACTTGGACGGCTGAGACAGAAGGATCACCTGAGCCCAACAGATCAAAGCTGTGGTGGCTGTGAGCATGTCACTGCATACCAGCCTGGGTGACAGAGTGAGATTCCAACTCAAAAAAAAAAAAAAAAAAGAAAGAAAAAAACCCATAGTGTACTGTCTTCTTTAACTGCCTTTATACAGCATGTCCCTCGGAATCCATGGGAGATTGGTGTCAAGACCCCCTGGGGATACCAAAATCCACAATGCTCAAGTCTATTACATAAATGGCATAGAATCTGCATATAACTGCACATCTTATGTACTTTAAGATCATCTCCGGGGCAACCCCCTCAGGTGCCCTCCCACTGTGGGAGCTTTTCTGTCCTCTTAATAAATCTTGCTTTCTAAATAAATAAATAAATAAAATCATCTCGTGATTACCTATCATACCTATTGTGATGCCTACACATCATTTGTGTGGATTCAGCATAGCACTCAATGTGTGGCAAATTCAAGTTTTGCCTTTTGGAACTTTGTGGAATTTTCCCCCTCAAATGTTTTTGATCCGCAGTTGGTTGAATCCATGGATGTGGAACCCATGGATACAAAGGGTCACTGTATTATTTCACTCAGTCAGGAATGTACTCTGTTACTAACATGCTCCTTTCCTATGTCAAAGCCATCTCCGTAAGTCTAAGCCGAATTAACTGCTCACCCATCTGTCACTATACTACTTCTTACATTCTATATCTGTCTCTTACAAGACTGAACTACTTGAAGGCAGAAGCTATATAAAGAAATATGCCCAGTTATAGTAAACATAATTAGACTTAAGTATGGGCCAACAAAATAGACTGACTTATGGTCTAGAGACCCAGATTCTAGTTTGGCTACCAGCCCTGTTACCTAAATTTTTCAGGGCTTGGTTTGGCAGTCACCGTAGTATACTGAGTAAGATCATGGGCCCTAGTGTAAGAAAGATGCAGGTTTGAATCCACAGTCCAACATTTACTAACTTTATAAATTTGAATAATTTACTATCCTCTGTGAATATGGGGAATAGCTTCTACTTTATAGGTCTATTATGAATATATGGTGAAAAGTCACATAATACCACTTAGCATAGTGTCCATGACAGACTAAGTACTCAATTATATGAATTGTGTCATTTATCCATATCTGTAAGGCATGAAGGTAGAATTTAGCCACGTTCTACAGAAACAAAGCTTAGAGCAGACACTATATTTAAAGGATACAAAATAGAGTCAAGTATGGCGGTTTGTGCCTGTAATCCCAGCTACTCAGAAGGCTGACACAGGAGGGTGGAGGGATCCCTTGAACCCAGGAATAAGAAGTCAGCCTGAGCAACACAGTAATACACTGGCTCTAAAAATATAGCACAGTGGCTCATGCCTGTAATTCCAGCACTTTGGGAGGCAGAGACTAGAGGATTGCTTGAGCCCAGGATTCGAGACCAACCTAGGCAACTTGGCAAGACCTTATCCCTACAATAAATAAACAAATTAGCCCAGTGTGGTGGCACATGCCTGTAGTTCGAGCTACTTGGAAGGCTGAGGAATCACCTGAGTAGCAGAGTGAGACTCCTACTCAATAATAATAATTAATAAATAAAATAAAGGCTGGGTGTGGTGGCTCACGCCTATAATCCCAGCACTTTAGGAGGCTGAGGTGAGAGGATTGCCTGTGCCCATGAGTTTGAGACCAGCCTGGGCAACATGACGAGACCTCATCTCTACAATAAATAAAAAAATTAGCCAGGCAAGATAGCGCATGCCTGTAGTTCCAGCTACTTGGAAGGCTGAGGTGAAAGGATCGCTTGAACCCAGCTGGGAGCATGCCACTGCCCTCTAGCCTGGGTGACAGAGTGAGACTCCAACTCTAAATAAATAAATAAATAAATAAATAAATAGAAAAAGGATAAAAAATGACCAGAGGATAAGAAACTTAACTATCAATTTGAGAAATATAAATCTGACTAGGAATGTAATTAGGATAACCTAAAATTTTAGCAAGCAGGTGACCTAAGGAAAACAGCATTTAAAGAAGCAAATTAGAGCCGGGCTCGGTGGCTCAGCCTGTAATCCCGCGCCTTTGGGAGGCTGAGGTGAGTGGACTGCCTGAGCCCGTGGGTTCAAGACCCGCCTGGCAGGCGAGACCTCATCTCTGCAATAAATCAAAAAATCAGCCGGGCGTGGTAGCGCATGCCTGTAATTCCAGCTACTTGGAAGGCTGAGGCGGAAGGATCGCCGGAGCCCAGCAGGTCGAGGCTGCGGTGGCCGGGAGCGGCCACTGCACTCCAGTCTGGGCGACAGAGTGAGACTCCAACTCAAAAAAAAAAAAAGAAGCAAATTATTCTTTTCTCATTTTCCTATCTATTAAAATGTTTGGCTAGGCATGGTGGCTCACACCTGTAATCCCAGCACTTTCAGAGGCAGAGGCAGAAGATTGCCTGAACCCAGGGGTACAAGACCAATCTGGGCAACTTGGCAATACCTTAAAGACCTTGACTCTATAATAAATCAAGAAAAATTAGGCAGGTGTGATGGCACATGCCTGTAGTTTCAGCTACTTGGAAGGCTGAGGCAGGATTGCCTGAGCCTAGCAAGTCAAGGCTGCGGTGGCTGTGAGCATGCCACTGAACTCCAGTGTGGACAACAGAGTGAGACTCCAACTCAAAAAAAAACTCAAAAACCTGATACCTATTTGTACATATTTATGGAGTACATATGATTTTTTTTTTCAGAGTCAAGTAGCTGGAACCACAGGCGTGTGCTACCACACTTGGCTAATATTTTGACTTATTGTAGAGACAAGGTCTTGCCATATTGCCCAGGCTAGTCTCGAACCCCTGGGCTCAGACAATCCTCTCACCTCTGTCTCCCAAAGTGCTGGGATTACAGGCGTGAACCACCACACCCAGCATCATGGGATATTTTTGAGATACTATACAATATGTAATGATCAAGTCAGGGTATCCAGGTTATCCTTCACCTTGAACATTTATCATTTATTTGTGCTGAGAACATTTCAAATCATCTAGTCATTTTGAAATTTACCCTACTGTACTATTGAACATTAAACATTACTTATTCTATCTAACTTATATCTGTACCCATTAACCTCTCTTCATTTATACCCCACTACCATACACACTCTCTGTGGTCTCTGGTAACTATCATTCTACTCTACCTCCATGAGATGAACTTCTTTAGTTCTCATATGAGTGAGAACATTTGATTTTATCTTTCTGTGCCTGGCTTATTTCACTCATTTCATTATTTCACTTGTCTTTTTTTCTTTGAGTTGGCGTCTCACTCTGTTGCCCAGACTGGAGTTCAGCGGCCACTCCCGGCCACCGCAGCCTCCACCTGCTACGCTTCGGCGATCCTTCTGAGTAGCTGGAATTACAGGCATGCGCTACCACGCCCAGCTAATTTTTTTTTTTTTTTGTAGAGATGAGGTCTCACCAAGTTGCCCAGGGGGGTCTCGAACCCGCGGGCTCAGGCAATCCACTCAC